GGCAGCAGCCCAGCAGTAGTGGTAACTTTTTTCTCACAAAAAAATATTAACCGAATTTTTGTTCATAACAACTCCTGTCCCAATTCCCCCCTCAGCCCACCCAACCTCTCCCTCATCGCTCCCATACCGCTCCCAAGGCACCCAAACCCCCCGGATCCCCTCAGAACCCTCCCCAAAATCACCCAAAATTGCCCAAAATTTGCAAAAACATCCTCAAAATCTGACCGGTACGTTGAGGGTATAAACGCGCTCCCCGCGCTCGTTCTCGTAGCACTGCAGGAACATGGCGGCGGTGGTGGGAAACAGAACCAGAAGTCGCCTCAGTATTAAAGGAGATGTGGGCGGGGTTTATAGCGGAAGTTGGCAAAGGGGGTGATGGGAAATGTAGTCCAGAAAGCGAGGACTACAAAGGGTAAGTGGGTGGGGTTTGCAGCGGAAGTGAGTGAAGGGGATGATGGGAAATGTAGTCCTGGACAAGAGCGGAAGTACCGGGTGGAAAAAAAGAGGAATTTGGGACCAGAAAGGGAAAGTTTGGGTTGAAAAAGGAGAATTTTGGTCTACAATGGGAATTTGTGCCCAAAAATTGGAATTTGGGCACTCAGGGGAGGTTTGGAGCCAAAAATGGGAATTTGGGTCCAGGAAAAAAGAATTTGGACCAAAAAAGAGGAAATTTGGGTCCAAAGAGGAGAATTTGGGACTAAAAAATGGAAATTTGTGCACAAAAAAGGGAATTTGGCAACAACAAGGGGAAATTAGGTCAAAAAAATGGGAATTTGGGCTGAAAAAGGGAAAATTTGCGTCCAAAAAGGAGAATTTGGGACAAAAAAAGGGAATTTGGGTCCAGGAAGGGAAAGTTTGGGTCAAAAAGGAGAATTTGTTTCCAAAAATGGAGAATTTCGACCAAAAAAGTGGAATTTGGACGAAGAAAATGGAAATTTGTGCCCAAAAAGGGAAAATTTGGGTCCAAAAATGGGAAATTTTGTCCTAAAAGGGAAATTTGGGTCCTAAAAGGAGAATTTCGGTTGAAAAAAGGAGAATTTGCTTCAAAAAAGGGAATTTGAGCAACAAAAAGGAGAAATTTGGACCTAAAAAGGGAATTTGGGTGAAAAGAGGAAAAATTGTGGCCAAAAATGGGAATTTAGGTGCTCAGATGGGAAGTTTGGACCCAAAAATGGGATTTTGGGACTAAAAAATTGAAATTTTGCCCAAAAAAGGGAATTTGAGCAACAAAAAGGGGAATTTGGGCTGAAAAAAGGGAAAATTTGGGTCCAAAAAATGAGAATTTGGGCTGAAAAAAGGAAAATTTGTGCCCCCAAAATGGGAAATTTGGGTCCAGGAAAAAAGAATTTGAACCAAAAAAAGGAAATTTTGGGGAAAAAAGGGGAATTTGGGGCCAAAAAGGGAAAGTTTGGGCTCAAAAAGGGGAATTTGAGCAACAAAAAAGTTAAATTGGGTAAAAAAAAGGGAATTTCTGCTGAAAAAAAGGAAAATTTGGGTCCAAAAAATGGAAATTTTTGTGGGGAAAAAAGGGAATTTGGACACAAAAAAGGGAAAATTGGGCTGATAAATGAAGAATTGTCGCAGAACGAGGCCTTTTTCGGGGATGAGCCATTTGTCGGGTGCAGGGAAAACTCGGACACTCAATATGAGTCAACAGCAAGTTCCGTTTATTGAAGAGAGCATCAGACACTTATACAGCAAGTAATGATCTCATGAATATTCTGTAAGCCAAGCGATCTATTGGTTAAACTATACCATCACCTCTCCCTCATTCCTTTCGGCCTACATTCTCTATTTCCCACGTCTCTCTGTCCACTCGTTATCATACCCAACTAGGCCCAAGGACACGCTATCTTGCAGTTGCAGGACTTGGAATTAGCCACGGCCTTGTACTTTTCCAGTGTCTAGTCAGATAAATTCCCAACAGGTGGGGACTGAGGACAGCAGAGGAGAACCCTGGGAGGGACTGAAGGGTGGTGTCAGAGATGGTGAAGCCTTTTGACATAGTAGAGAAAAGCCAGAAAAAGCCCAAATTAATGCCAAGGGCACCTGGGGAGGCCCAGATTCAGAACAAAGACAATGGAGTTTCTATCCCAGGGCAGGGCTGTGGTGCAACACATCTCCCAGAAGGGGCCTGGGCCAGCCCCAGGCTTTGTGTGGGCAGGCAGAGGCAGGCAGGAGGCAGAGCTGTCAGCAAAGGAAGGGGCCAGCCAGGTGGGGCAGCCGGGGGATGCCGACAGCCTGCAGGGACAGAGGCGCAGGGCAGGGACACCGTGGGACAGCCTGGGCTGCACAGGGCACAGGCATGTGCAGCAGCTGCAAGACAGCCCTGCCAGAGCCAACTTGGGCAGCACTTTGGCCATGGCTGCTGGGCCTGGGCCTGAGGCAGGAGCAGGAGACAAGTGACCCTTGCAGGCCTGGGGCCTCATTGCCTCCTTGTCCCTGTTCAGCAGCCTGGCAGGGGCCGCCCCATGCTCCTGCCCTTGCCATTGCACATCCCCACATGCCAGTGCCCATCCCGGCAAGAGCCCTGAGAAAGGAGGGAGGGACAGCATCGGCCTGGTCAGGGGCTGGGGCTCAGGGTAGGCCCTTTGCATTCCTCAAACATATCCAGCTTTGCTCAGCACAAGAGACACCTTGGCCTTGTTTGTCCCCAGCTGTCATCACTGCCTCCAGTGTTCTGCCCTAACTGGAACCTGGGGACAGTTTCTCATTCATGTCCATCTGTGGGACTCATTAAAACTTCAAGAAACTTCAGAGTTTCATTTTAAATTTGAGTTCTTGAGAAGTTTTTTGAGCACTCTCTCAGGGACTGGGCTGATGTAAACAACACCAAATCCCCAAGAGGCTCATTAATGTCCTTGTGCTGTGTCTGTGCTGCTGAGCTTTAAAGGAACAGCTCTTCCCAGGACCAGCTCCTCTCCCAGCCCAGCAGGGCTGAGGGCTCTGCCTGCAGGCACTGAGGGGACAGGAGACAGGCAGAGACAGGCTGAAGGCAATCCGGATTGGGAAGACATTGAGCTGAGACTTCACTTGGGGAAAGCTCTTCACAGCCCTGTGCATGGTGAGTGTGTGGGTGCAGGGCAATGTCCCCTGTGCTCCTGGAGGGATCTCCTGAAGCTGACCCAGGACAGGACTGATGTGACTGTAAGGATGCTCTGCTGCTGTTTCTGCTTTAGGGGAGGATGTGCTGCAGAGTGGGGCTGCCCTGGGCACCGTCAGAAGGACAGGGCAGGACAGCTCCTGCTGCCAGGGACAGCTGCTGGGGATGAAGCTGGGGCTTCAGCCAGGGGTGCCCAGAGCTCCAGCTCATGCCCAGGGTGACTTTTCATGAGCTCATTCAGGGCAGGAGTTTCCTGCTTGGGTCTCTGCTTTCCTGAATCTGTGCTCCCACTTTTCCCTGGCTCAGCTTGATGGCAATAGAAGATTAACTGTGCAGGGTAGAGCAGGGGCTGAGACTCTTCAACCATCACCCTGAGGATTCCTGGGCACCTCAGCAAGTGCCTGCACCTGCCCAGCCTCCAGATCCATGCAGCATCACCTTTCCATGGTGCCCAGGCTGGGGGAGCTGTTCTTTAATCCCTGCAGGGCGCAGCAGCTGCAGGGCACGGCTGGCCCAGGGGCTGGGCTGGGCTCTGGCAGCTCTGGCAGGGAAGGAGCCCGGGCCCACAGGAGCAGCTGGGGCTGGGACAGCTCCAGCAGCAGAGCCGTGGGCAGGGAGGGAGAGAGGCAGTGCTGAGGGAAGCCCTGCTGCAGGGCAGATGTGGCACCTGCTGCGCCTGCCCTGCAGGGCACACATTGCCCTGAGCAGCACAGCTCTTGTGTCCCCTCGCAGCCAGCACAGCCCTCAGCCCGGGGGCTCGGGGCCTTCAGTCCCTCCTGGGCCAGCACAGCAGGCCCAGAGATGAAGGGCATCTCTGCGGCCATGTGCCCATTCCCTGCTGACCAGGGCCTGAGGGCCACTGTCCTGCCCTGCTGCTGCCTGGCAGGGGCTGGCCAGGGCTGGCCAGGGAAAGGCTTTTCCTCAGGCCCAGCTCTCTCTCTCTCCTTGCCTTGCCCAGGTGCTGCTGCCATTGCTGAGGGGCTCTCTGCAATGGTAGTTCCAGCTGCAGGGCCAGGCCCAGCCCTTGGGCTCCTCCTGTGCAGGCTGAGCACCGCAATGGGGTGTCCCAGCTCCCTGTGCCCGGGCAGCTCTGGGCAGGGCAGCCTGGGAGGCTGGCAATGAGCCCACTCTCCTGACTCTGGGAAAGGCAGGAGCCACTTTGTGTGCCAGGGATCCCTCTGCTCTCAGCAGTGTCTCCTGGCTGTCCAGGGTAACACAGGAGTGGATTTCAGAAAGGTGCAAGTGCAGGGCAGCTGGAACAGGAGAGAGGGACAGAGCACTTCCCCTCAGTCTGCACTAAATCTCAGACAATCCTCCTGCCTCTCTGGACTCTCTGTTCTCCCCAGGTGCAGCAGAATCTCTCATTCTGCCTTCTGTTATCCCCATCCCTTCACCCAGGCAGTTCTGCAGCCTTACAGGAAGATTCTTTATCCAAGCCTGAACACCAGGACTGGGCCCTGCTCTCACTGTTCCCTGCACTGACTGGGGGTCAGGGCTGACTCCCAGGTGTCCTGCAGGCCAAGGTCCAGCTCCTCACACAGCATTGGCCAGCAGCAATCAGAGCTCCAGCAATAATGGTGAAGGAAGATCTCCTAGACATACACAAAGGGGACGTGCTTAGTGGAAAGAAAGAGGCTATGACAAAGAGTCTTGATTTTTCTGTGAGAAATTTCCCCTCCGTTGCCCTGTCTTTCCTCCTTCTGTATGTTGAAATATGCAGACACAGCAAATGCCCAACAGCAGCTCCATCAGGCACTTCCTCCTGCTGGCATTGGCAGACACGCGGCAGCTGCAGCTCCTGCACTTCTGCCTCTTGCTGGCCATCTCCCTGGCTGCCCTCCTGGGCAACGGCCTCATCATCAGCGCCGTAGCCTGCAGCCACCACCTGCACACGCCCATGTTCTTCTTCCTGCTCAACCTGGCCCTCAGCGACCTGGGCTCCATCTGCACCACTGTCCCCAAAGCCATGCACAATTCCCTCTGGGACACCAGAGACATCTCCTACTCAGGATGTGCTGCACAGGTTTTCTTCTTCCTTTTCTTTATCACAGCAGAATTTTCCCTTCTGACCATCATGTGCTACGACCGCTACGTGTCCATCTGCAAACCCCTGCACTACGGGACCCTCCTGGGCAGCAGAGCTTGTGCCCACATGGCAGCAGCTGCCTGGGCCAGTGCCTTTCTCAATGCCCTGTTGCACACAGCCAATACATTTTCCCTGCCCCTGTGCCACGGCAATGCCCTGGGCCAATTTTTCTGTGAGGTGCCCCAGATCCTCAAGCTCTCCTGCTCACAGTCCACATTCAGAAAAATTTGGATTTCATTGTTTGTTACCTGTTTAGGTTTTGGTTGTTTTGTGTTCATTGTTTTCTCCTATGTGCAGATCTTCAGGGCTGTGCTGAGGATCCCCTCTGAGCAGGGACGGCACAAAGCCTTTTCCACCTGCCTCCCTCACCTGGCCGTGCTCTCCCTGTTCCTCAGCACTGGCACATTTGCCTACCTGAAGCCCCCCTCCATCTCCTCCCCATCCCTGGATCTGGCCCTGTCAGTTCTGTACTCGGTGGTGCCTCCAGCCCTGAACCCCCTCATCTACAGCCTGAGGAACCAGGAGCTCAAGGCTGCAGTGTGGAGACTAACGACTGGATGGTTTCAGAAGCACTAAACTGCTGGCCAGTTTCTGCAACTCACTTGTAATAAAAGCAGTCTTCAATACTTCATGTAAGTTTCATTTTGGAAGTTCTTTATCTTTGCTTTAAATTTTAAATATTTTCTACAAAGTGATGTCATTGTTTGTGCCAACTTGGTGTTGCCAGTGCTGCTGCCGTGGCCCTGCCCTGCTGCCCTGGTGGCCCTGGTGTTGCTGCAGGGCCTGAGTGCTCTCGGGGCCGGGCACAGCCCTGGGGGTGGCAGTGCCGGGGCTGCAGCAGGGACAGGCCATGGGCACTGCTGGGGCAGCACTGACGCCTCAGCCCAGGGCCTGGGGGCTCCAGGCTCCTTGCCCAGGCTCTCTCAAGAACACGCCCAGGCCAATGCTCAGCACAGAAAAGCCCCGTGAGCAGCCCCAGGCTGGCCGTGGGCAGGCTGGGGGCAAACAGCATGGCTGGGGCTCTGCAAGGGCCCTGGGGCAGATGGGAAGGAGCAGCAGAGCAGGGGCCGATCCATCCCCAATGCACTGGACAGCTCAGGGCAGCATCCCAGAGCGTCCTGATGGAGCTGCCAACAACATCCCCCCTCTGCACTGCTAGCCTCAAGCCCTAGCCTCAGTTGCTTTCTTCCCTTTCTTTGCTTTCTTTCCTCTCTACTGCCCCAAATCTCTTCCAATTGCGCACTGCTGTCCCCTCCCCTGCAAACAGCCCATCCCTTTTTGCCCTTTCCTCTCTGGCATCACTCCCCATTGCAGTTCCTGACTTGGCACCCTGGGAACGTCCCTTAGGCAGCAGGATCATCCTAGAAGTGCTGCAGGAATTGTCTGAAGGCTCCTGCAGTGCCTGGTGCTGCTCCCTTGCCAGAGGCACGCCAGGCCAGGGGGGCACATCTGGGCTGCTGTGTCTGGCTCTGGGGCTCCCTGTTCTGGGCAGTGAGGAGGAGCTGCAGAGGCTCAGCAGGACTGACAGGATGGGCTTTGGGGCTGGCAGGAGAAGCTGAGGGACCTGGGCTGCTGGAGCTGCTGAAGAGAAGGCCCAGGGCTCCTCCTGCAACTGCTCCAAGGGTGGTTCCAGAGAGTCACAGAATTAGCAAGGTTGGAGAAGACCTTGGAGATTATCCAGTCCAACCTGTGCCCTGATATTGCCTTGTCTCCCTGAGCCTCCTCTTCTCCAGGATAAACAACCCCAGCTCCCTCAGCCTCTCCTCACAGGACTTGTGTTCCTGACCCCTCCCCAGCCTTGTTGCCCTTCTCTGGACATGCTCCAGCCCCTCCATGGCCTTCCTAAATTGGGGGCCCTGAACTGGACACAGCACTCGACGTGTGGTCTCACCAGTGCCGATTGCAGGGGAAGAACCACTGTCCTGCTCCTGCTGGCCACACCATTCCTGATCCATAGGAGTGCCCAGGGTTGGATGGGGGAAATGATGTGGAGGGGGTAGGGACAAAGTGTGATTGATTTTCAGCCATGAAGGGTCTTGATTTTCATATCTCTTCAGACTGCATGAGGAGGGGCTGGAGATCAGTATGAACAGGGGATTGCTGGTATCAATTTATAAACAGGAAAAGAAAACTAAACAGGACAAAACAATTCTCTCTTCATTGTTTTCAATATAGTGGAATCACTTTGAATACACTTCTGAAATCTGTCTAATTAACCAGAAGAACTGAAGATTTGAATTATTCCCATGGGCTTGTCTTGTTTGGGAGTTTTGAACAAATGTTTATGAGCATTTGTCACTGAATTCCTGAACTGAAGAGCTCAAAGAAGAAGAGGCCTCTGGAAAAGTAAAGTTCATCACCAACCTCCACGGTGCTGAGGATCCATCCTGATCAGAGAAGGAATGAGGAGAAATGGGTACAGCTTTGTGGCTGCCCCAGCTTTGGGATGGGCCCTGGGCCTGGAGCAGGAGCAGCTCTTGAGGACCCCAAGGCCGGGGCTCTTGTGCTGCCCTGGGCAGATGGGATGGCAGCAGGGGCTGCAGAGCTCTCAGCATCTCCTGCAGAGGAGAGCAGGGCACCCAGGGAGCCTCCTTTCCCTTGGCCAGGCACCTTCCCCCATGCTGGGGCTGAGTCCTGTGGCAGCTGCAGCTGCTGCTGGGCCCTTGCCAGGGGCTGAGGCCGTGGGGCAGTGCCCAGAGCAGCCTGGCCTGAGCAGAGCTGTGGGGCCAGAGCCGGCTGGGCTGGGCTGGGGAGAGGCCCTTGGTGCTGCCCAGAGCTCAGGGCAGCTGGCAGAGCTTGCAGGGAGCTGGGCTGGGCTCAGAGAGCCTGGCCCAGAAACCATCAGTGTCCATCTCAGCCTGGCTGAGCCTGCAGGGGCCAAGAAGAGCAGCCCAGGGTCTGCAAGTTCTCTGGGTGGGAGCTGAGCTTGTGAGCCCTTGAGCCCTGCCAAGTGCTGGGGCTGCACCTCCAGCTCCAGAGGAGATGGGACAGATGGGAGCACAGACAAATCATTCCTGCTGGATTCTTTCTTTTGTTTGCTTGTACAGGTGACCTGGATCCATATGTAGAGGAGGTGCTTGGTGACAGATAACACTGGTAGAGTGAGAAGAATAATATTATGTACTTGAAAATAATATTTCATGAATAATACGCACTGAGGAAAAAAAGGCACATATGATCAGAAGATCATCTGAGTTTTTCAGAGGAGGAGAGACATTCATTGATGTTCCAGTAGTCAAACCTATTCAAATTCTTTCCTCAGGGCTTCTTTGAGATTAGAGGTGACCACCAGAGGCCAAGGCCAGCCAGAGCTCTCTTTCCTGCCAGCTTCTGCCTGGGAGAACCCTTGCAGATAGGGAATATTTTAGGGGGATTATCAGTTTTGGCCTTGGGCACCTGGAAAGAGAAATGGTTGTTTTCCATAGGAAGGAAAGCACAGAGCCCCAGTTCTTCAAGAGCTGATGAGAATCAGCCCCCAGTATTTCAAGATCAGCTGGACCTGTCCGGTGGCCCCTGGCAGGCCAAACCAGCCAGACCTGTTCCATCTCCCCTTGGTTTCATGAGTGTCACAATGTTCTTCTTGCTTCTGCAGTGTCACAATGGCCCCGTGCTTCCATGAGGCCCTGCAGGGTCACAGTGGCCCTTTGGTTCCCTGAGGCCCCACAGTGTCACAATGGTCTCCATGATTCCATGGGGCCTTGCAATTCCACAATGCTCTCCATGGATCCACGGTGCCCTGCAGGATCACAACGGCCCTTTGGTTCCACGAGGGCCTGAAATGCAGCAATGGCCTCTTGGTTCCACAAAGCCCTGCTGCTTCACACTGGCCCCTTGGGACCATGCGGCCCAGCAGAGCCACAGTGATAGCCTTGGTGCCACAGGGTCCTCACAGTGCCACAAGGATTTCTTCATTTCAGAAGGCCCCACAATTTCACATTGGTCCTTATGGGCCCCACAGTGTCACCGGGGTCTCAACAGGAAGGAAACCACGGAGCCCCAGTGGTTCAGGGGCTGATGAACTACAAGTACCAGAGGCCAAGGCCAGGCCTGTCTGTCTGTCCTGGAGAGTTTGGGAGCAACTCTTAGACATATGAAATTTTGAATGTGAAATCCTATTTTTGGCCAATTCTTATCCACAGAAAGGAAAGCACAGAGCACCTGCTTTTGGAAGGCAGGTGAGAGCTGGCCCTCAGGAGGGCAAGGCCAGCCAGACCTGTCTGTAATGGCAGCTTTTGTGCAGGAACAATCATTGGATATAGGACTTTTGGAGGTGGAATCCAAATTTCAGCCATGGCCGCCTGAAGAAGAAGGATGTTTCTTTTCCATAAGAAGTAAAGGGTGGAACCCCAGTGTTTCAGGGCAGAATAAAAGCAACCACCAGAGGCCAAGGTCAGCCAGAGCTGTCTGTCCTGGCAGCTTTTGTCTGGGAGAAACCCGAGCATATAGGGAATTTTGGAGGAGAAATACTAATTTTGGAATCGGTGCCTGTGCAGGAGGGATGGTTCTTTTCCATAGGAAGGAAAGCGCCCCAGTGTCTGAAGGCAGGTCGGACCCAGCTCTCAGGAAGACAAGGTCAGTCAGACTCGTTGGCAATGGCAGCTTTTGACTGGGAGCAATCCCAGGATATTGGGAATTTTGGAGAGGGAATCCCATGTTGGAGATGAAGGGGAGACGACCATCCTTTAATGCATCGAACTCCAACTTTATTGATCAATCAATCACCTTATATAACAGTACTAACGAACTTCATGCATATTCTGTAATACAATGTCATGATAGGCTAACAGAGAAATTTCTAACCACTCCTCTTGTTTTAGAATACCTACAATTGTTTATTAAAAACAGAAACTAAAACAGAAACCAGAAACTAAAACAGAAACCAGTGTTCCCAAAACTTCTACATCTGTTCTCAGGATGGCAGGCCTTCCCAAGGACGGTGCTCCGCTTGCCATGGGAAGACAGCCTGAGAACTTTATTGTTTATAGAATGATGCCTGAGAGAGTCTGATTGTTTACACAAATCAGAAGGCTGAGAACTGTTAGAAACTGCTTTACTTTTCTCTTCTACTTTTCTCTCAATTGTATGTCTCATGGCCTCTTTCTTTAAGCCATTCCTGAAAAACTCTCCAACAATCCCATTTTGGCTATGGACGCTTGAATGAGAAGGGCAGTTCTTTTCTTTTCCATTTGAAAGAAAGCCCAGAGCCCCAGGGTTTCAGGGGTACATGAGAAGAGACCCTCGACATGCCAAGAGCAGTTGGACCAGTCAGGCCAAGCCAACCAGACCTGTTCCCTGTTCCCTTGGATCCATGGGGCCCTGCAGTGTCCCAGTGGTGGTGTCATATTGGATCCTTGGTTCCATCAGGCCCAGATGTGTCACACTGGCCTCTTGTTTCCATGGGGCTCCAGTGTGTCATAATGGTCCCTGGCTTCCATGAGGCCTTGCAGTGTCACAGGGGTCTCCTTGGTGCTGCAGTGTCACAATGGACCCTTGGTTCCATGGGGACTCACAGTGTCAGAAGGGCCCCCTTGGTTCCATGAGGCCCTGCAGAGCCCCTTGTTTCAATGAGGCCTCCAAGTGTCATCATGGCCTCCAAGATTCCATGAGGCCCCGCAATGTCCCAGTAGACCTTTGGTCCCATGGGGTCCTGCACTGTTCCATGGGGCCCTGTATTGTCACAATGGCCTCCTTGGTTCCATGGTGCCACACAGTGTGACAACTGCCCCTTGGCCTGCCAAGACCCCAAAGTGTCACAATGGTTCCTTGCTTCCATGAGGCATTGTAGTGTCAGAATGGTCTCCATGATCCCATAAGGCCTTGCAGTGTCACAACAGACCATTGGTTTCATGGAGCCCCACAGTGTAACTATGGTCCCCTTGGCTCCACAAGCCTCTGAAGTGCCACAATGGCCCTTTGGTTCCACAAGGCCTCCAAGTGTAAAAATGGCCTCCATGGTTCCATGAGGCCCTGCTGTGTAACAATGCACCTTTGGTTCCATGATGCCCAGAGTGTCACAATGGTATCCTTGGTTCCACGGTGTCAGAATGGACCCTTCATCCCATGGACACCCACAGTGTTCACGGCAGTGCCCTTAATTCCACAAGGCTCTGCCATGCTCTAATGGCCCCTTGGTTCCAGTGGGTCCCAAAGTGTCAGAACAGTCTGCAGTGTTCCATGAGGCCCCGCAATGTCACTGTGCTCCCCTTGGTTCCCCATGGCCCCACAGTGGAACAATGGACTCTTGGTTCCATGAGGTTCCTCAGTCCCAATGGTCTCCTTGGATCCGCAGTGTCACATGGCCCCTTGGCTCCAAGTGGCCTTGCTGTGTCACAATGGCTCATGGTTCCATGAGGCCATACAGTTTAACAAGGGACCCTTGGTTCCATCAGGCCTTGCTGTGTCACAAAGGACTTCTGGTTCCATGAGCTCTCACACTGCCAGCAGCAGTCTCCTTGGTTCTGCAGTGTCACCATGGACCCTTGGTTCCATGAGGTTCCGCAGTAGAACACAGACACCTTGGTTCCGTGAGGTTCAGCAGTGCCACAATGGACCCATGGTTCCACCAGGCCTTGCTGTGTCACAATGGCCCCTTGGTTCCCAGAGGTTTCTCAGGGTCAAAATGGTCTCGTTTGATCCACAGTATCACAATGGACCATTGGTTCAATGTGGCCCCAAAGTGCCAAAACGGATTTTGGTTCCATGGGGTTCTGCTTTGTCACCATGGACTCTGTGTTCCATGAGTTTGCAAAGTGTCACAGCTGACTCTTTGGTTCTGTGAGGAACCACTGTGGCCAAATCTCTGAAATATCTGAATAAGTCTCCTGAACACTCATTTGCTATTGCAGAGGGTATCATTTATTCAGGCCTAAGGTCCAACCTGGGATAACTCCTAAAAATGTGGACAGGGAATTCTACCAGTGGGTTGCTTATGTACAGTCCCTAAATGTGAATTACATTTTACCCATTTCCAAAAAACCCACCTGAAATTCAAAGATTCAGTCCTTGTTTTCCCCATCTTCCCTGCACTCCTGAGCCAGATTTCTTCTTCTCTTCCAACCATCCTTACTGGGAAAGCAGCACCTGCATGCCTTGTTCCTGTGCTGAAAGTTCACAGGCAGGGGAAAAATGGAATGAAGCCTTTTGGTATCAGCCCCAGGCTTTGTGTGGGCAGGCAGAGGCAGGCAGGAGGCAGAGCTGTCAGCAAAGGAAGGGGCCAGCCAGGTGGGGCAGCTGGGGGATGCCGACAGCCTGCAGGGACAGAGGCGCAGGGCAGGGACACCGTGGGACAGCCTGGGCTGCACAGGGCACAGGCATGTGCAGCAGCTGCAAGACAGCCCTGCCAGAGCCAACCTGGGCAGCACTTTGGCCATGGCTGCTGGGCCTGGGCCTGAGGCAGGAGCAGGAGACAAGTGACCCTTGCAGGCCTGGGGCCTCATTGCCTCCTTGTCCCTGCTCAGCAGCCTGGCAGGGGCCGCCCCATGCTCCTGCCCTTGCTATTGCACATCCCCACATGCCAGTGCCCATCCCGGCAAGAGCCCTGAGCAAGGAGGGAGGGACAGCATCTGCCTGGCCAGGGGCTGGGGCTCAGGCCTTGGCCCTTTGCATTCCTCAAACACATCCAGCTTTGCTCAGCACCAGAGACACCTTGGCCTTCTTTGTCCCCAGCTGTCATCACTGCCTCCAGTGTTCTGGAACCAGGGGACACTTTCCCAGTCGTTTCCCGCAGTGGGACCCATTAAAACTTCAAGAAACTTCAGAGTTTCAATTTATTTTGAGTTCTTGAGAAGTTAATTGAAGTCACTCTCAGGAACTGAGTCTGATGTAAACAACACCAAAGCCCTGTGAGAATCATTAAACTTTTCCTAGTCCCGTTATGGAAAAAGATTTCAAAGAACTTGTAAAAAATATGCATTCCTATTTTAAAGGATGTATTTTATTATATTTCTCTTTACATCAGAGGTGATTGCAGCATTCTGTGATTGATATTGACCCAGGGTCTCTCCTCAGCAGCTCTGGCCTGCTCACAGAAGCTGTGCCTGGAGCTCTGACCCAGTGTGGACAACCTTGCTCCACATTGCCCAGCCCCATCCTGTCTGTCCTCACTCCCCTCGGCACTGCTGTGCTTGCAGAGCTGGCTGCACTCAGCCTAAGAGTGGTTTTCCCGTTTTGGGTTTTTTTGCAGGAATCTGAAACTCCTGAGTTTCCCCACTGCAAACAGACACACTGCTCAGGTGTGTGCCGGCCCCAGGTGCCAGCAAAGCCACTGCAGAGCTGCCCTGGGCCAGCTGTGAGGGTGGATCATCAGCCCAAGCTGCACTGGGCCACTGCAAGGGGCTGTGGCCATGGGCACTGCACTGACCCCACTGCTGGGTTTGGCTGCCACGGCCACCGAGAGAAATTAAACTGTCCTTGGAAACACTGGGGAGGACTGGGACATACTGGGGAACACTGGGAACGCTGTGGGAGACACTGGGGCATACTGGGAGTGACACTGGGGGATACTGGGACATACTGGGAACACTAGGGTTATTGCAGAGAAGACGGGACAATGGGGTACCTGTGGATGACATTGGGAGGAACTGGAAGGGAATGGGAATGAACTCAGGTGTATTGGGATGGACTGGGCTGTACTGGGAGGAACTGGAGGGGGACTGGGGTTGTACTAGATCCTACTTGGGATGAACTGGACTTTACTGAGGTTATATTAGTCTGTACTGGGAATGGACTGGGCTGTAGTGGGAGGGACTGGAGGAGGGTGAATGAGTTGTACCCGCCTTCCGCCACACCCCATTTGCCGAAGCTCCCGCTCATCACCAGTTGTAGCCAATCAGCGCCAGGGATCCGGGTCTCAGGGGGGTTCCTAGATGAGCGCCATATTTTCTTTTTGCCTACATCTCCCGGCATGCCTCGCGGCCAGGAATGGCCCCATTGGAGCCGGGAATACAATGCCCGTCATGCTCCGCGCCCCACAGAACCCCGGGATCCGCCCCCATCTCTCCCATAACTGTCCCCCAGACTCTCCAGGATCCGTCCGTGATCTTTTAGCGCCCATTCGGGACTACCAAACTGTCCATGGACCCCCGGATTGCTCCCAACCACACAGATGCCCAGTACAGCCACTTCTGAGAATTCATCTCCTCTCATCCCCCGCGGCCCCAGAGCCCCTCAGAACACAGTCCCGTGCCTAAAACTCCTGCCGTGCCCCGCGTCCTAAAGAGCCCCGCTAGAGACCCCCGAGCTCCCCCCAACGCTCCCGAGCCGTTTACGTTTCCCCCCGAGGGCCTCAAATCACGGCTCGGACGCAAAAGTGTCCCCCAAGTGCCTCCCCGGACCCCCTAACATTGCGTTCGAACCACTTCCAGGACTATAGCTCCCATCATGCTCCGCGGCGCAAGTCCAGCGTTATTCCAGCCGGGACTTCATCTCCCGTCATGCCCCGCGCCCCACCGAGACCCATTGCAGCTGCGGCCTGAACTCCCGTGATGCTCCGCAGTGCCGTTAAACCGTATGATACCTGTGCGTCCAACTCCCATCACCCCCCGCGCCCCAGAGAGCCCCGTTCGAGCCCCCCCCAAGGGCCCGCCTGGACCCCGAAGGGCCCGAGATTCGCTTCCCTGACCTCCAAGGCCCCCTGGACCCCCAAGTGCTGCCCCGGACCCTGAACTGTCCCTCAGAATCCCTGAGTGCCCCTCCAAGTGCCCACCCGGCTCCCTGAAGTGTCCTCCAGACCCTCAAGTTTTCTCTGAATTCCCTCCCCAGACCCAAAACTTCCCCAAATGTGCGCCAGAAATGTCTCCAGGGACCCCAAAGTGCCACTCCTTGACCCTGTGTGAGAAAATAAGGCAAAAGGTGACAAAAGTGCTAAATTATTGGCATAAAGATGGAGAATTCAATAGCTGACAGTTGTCAATTAATTAAGGGAATTATGTTACTTAGAACCAGTGATGCATAATGTTTTTGGTTGCTAAAAATGTATATAATTTTCATATCAATTTAGAAATTGGGTAATAAAAATATTGAATAATATTTTCAATTCAAATAATACAACTATAATTTTAGGAATTATTATCTTTTAATTTTCAAGTAAAATGCATATTTTATTATGTTTTGGGATGTCACTCCCAGGTCGGCGATGTCAGACATAGTGAGGCTGGCGGGGAGGAGCAGCTTGTCCAAACAGGCTCAGCCTGCAAGGGGCTCATTCTTCTCCCTGCCCAGACCTCCTAAGTTGACATTCAGCATCAAAAACACTTGGGAAATGCTTCCATCCCCTCTTCTCTGAAATGAAAAGTATAAAAATATTCCCTTGACTAAGACCAAAAATCCTGATGTGCACTTTGGAATCTCCCTCCTGAAGAGAACTCCAAACTGACTCCAATCCCTGCACAAGCCCTGGAGACTCAAAGACAATGGAAGGGAGACAAAGAGCTCCTGAGGCCTTTCTGTATTTTAATCAGCCCCACACTGGATTTGGGGCTGGCTCCAGGAGCCTCAGGAACGCAGAGAAGGATGAAGAAGCTGCTCAAGGAGGCAGCAGCAAAACTCCAAGTGCCTTGGAGCATGGCTGGGCCCCAGGGAGGGAAGGGAGTGCCCAAGGCTGCCCAGGGCCTGGTGAGAGCAGATCCTTGAGGGCAGGATTGCAGGGAGCCCAAGGCTGTGAGCAGGGAACTGCAATGCTGAGCAAGGCCTGGCTTGGCTGGGTTTTCTCTCCTTTCAAGAGTCTCTGGGTAGGCACTGTTGGTTTCAGATCCATGGTCTCTGTGCTGCTCTTGGCCTGCTCTGGTTAGGGTGACGAAGGCAAGAAGCTCTGACCACGGTCCTGATGCTGTCTTATGTTTTCTGTGGTTAGAAGTGTTATTTTAATTCTTCATTTACAGGGTGGCTTGTTGTTCTAGGGGTTTTGGTTAGGTCATTCTTTTTTTCCTGCTTTATGGGATTTTCATATTTGGTTATTGGGTGACATAATCCTCTTCTTTATGGTGTCGGGTGGTTTACCATCTTAGATGAGAGTGGGGGTGATAGTAAAAGGTTTTAAAATCATAAAATTTGGGGAATTAGAAAGAAGCTAGACTTAGTGGGGCCCTGGAAAAATTTTAAACGTAGACTCTGAAAATGTTAGGCTTTGTGTTTTGCCAGATCATGTGAAATTGCACCTGCATAAGCAGTATGTGATAAAAGATATAATTGTTCAATGTGACGATTGTTTAGTAATTAAATACAATTATTGTATAATCATAAGAAGAATAATGAGAAAGTATGTTAGAAGTTTGAGGAGGGGGGTCACGAGGAGCCCATGCTTGGCTGAAATCTATGTATACAACAGAACAATAAAAGTTTAATAATTAACATGAAAGTTATATAATGATAGAATATAAAAACATGTTCATCCCGAACCCATGTCGGAGACAGATTTGGGTTTGTACCCCTGACACTCAGAGCTCTTCAGTAAAAGCACCTGCATAGAATCATTCTCGTGATTATGTGCTTCTGAACACTGACAGGAGCAGTAGGGGGAACACCTGATGTGAGGGGATTTACATAATTATAAATCCTTTAACTAGCATTGGAACTTGGCATAACTATTAAACATTCAACAAACAATCTATAACTAAGATTGGAACTTTATATTAACTCCTTTAACAATGAACTTTATATCAATTCCTTTAACAATTGATTCTCTACTTTCCCCCTCTAATTGTTCAATTGGGCTCAAGCTTGCATCAATTAGCAATTACTTCTTCCTGAAAGTACAATTTTTAATATTGGTTATAAGTTTGCTTGGCAACATGCTGTTCTTGATCGTTCATTATCATGATTACTTTTACTTCTTTCTTATTAAGCTCTTTTGGTATCATTACACTTGCTTGTACAGTAGATGTTACAACTCGGATTATACAGGGGAGCATGCAAGGTAGGAGGATTAAACTAATAATTTCACATATGATGAAAAAGGCCATTTTTTTCCACCAGTTTCCTTTTAATGACCAGAAATTGTCCCACCAGCTGGTATCAAATGTAGGGATCCACTCTTGTGTTCCAACATAAACTAACTTCCGGATTTCCTTTGAGATATTTCTAATGACTTCACTGCAGTCATCCATTTCTAAGCAGCACTCGAGGAGTTAAATTTTCCACATGTGCTTCCTTCATGGGCTAATAAATAATCTACTGCTAGTCTGATTTGATACACCACAGCTCTAGTCTGGGATAGTTGGTCATTTATGTGGTCTAAAGCTTGAGAGGTTCAGTTCGATACCATCTCGAGTACTGTGTGTAATCTTAGAATCTGATTTAATGTATAAATTCATTAGAAGACTTTAGTAGGGGATGTGGTTGGTTTTGACTCTTCAGTGGGAGGTGGTCCAGGTCCTTTAATCTGGGTTATATGTGTCCACCCCCTCTCTTGGGTCATATGGCTGTATTGGTGGTGAGTAGGACCTGAAAAGGGCCTTCAAACTTAGAGGCTAAAGGTCCAGATTTCCATGATTTAACTAACACCCAGTCCCCTGGATTGATGTTATGTCCCTTAGTGTCTAAGGGAGAGGTTTGAAGGACATAGCCCTTTTTCCTAAGATCTTTGAATCTCCTTCCTATGGCCTTTACCTATTTTAGGGTGGCTGTCTCTCCTTCTGGATAAATTCCAATGCTATATGAGGTTATCAAGAAGGGGAGTCCAAACATCATTTCATAAGGTGAGACTCTTATGCCTGATTGAGGCCTTGTTCTAATTTGTAACAGTGCTAAGGGTAGACATTTAAGCCAATTCATCTCAGTTTCTGTAACTAATTTAGTTAACCCATTTTTGATGGTTTTATTCATTCTTTCTACTCCTCTGGAGCTCTGGGGATGCGAATGGGCTGTGCAACCTCCATTTCATTCCCAGGGCTTCAACAACTTGTTGTAAGACTTGGGCAGTAAAATGTGGACCTCGGTCAGAATCGACATTATTTATCAACCCATATTGGGGAATGATGTTTTCTAGAATTGCTTTTGTGGCTGCTTGGGCTGTCTCTGCTTTTGCTGGGAACGCCTCTACCCAATGGATGAGGTGATCCATGGTCACTAATAAGTGTCTCTGTCCTTAAACACAGGACATTTCTGTGATGTCTACCTGCACCGTTTGGAATGGCCACAAGATCAGATAGCACTCTTCTCATTACTTTCTGATTAATTTGTTGGCAAGTTATCCCTTGGTAACTACCTTTCCTATGGTACGTACTCCCATGCACATATGATCCCTTGGAAAGGGGTCACATAAGCCTTGTATTCCCCAATGGGTCAACTCATATAACTCTGTCATCACCTTTCGGGCTGGAGCTTTATTTAAAATTTGCTGTCCATCAGGGGTCCACCATTCTCCATTTTCTTTTTGCTGTCATCTCATCTTTTCTAACTCTCTCAATTCTTTCTTGTCAAAGACTGGTTATTCCTCTTTCCTTTCCCTACTAGATGTTCCCTCTATCTTAAGAATTTTAACTGGACTTTCTTGTTCCAAAGCTACTTCTTTCATTACTTGATCAGCTAATTGATTTCCCTTTATTTCCAGGGTGTCCCCTTTTTGATGTCCTTTTATGTGAACAATTGGTTTCCTTAGGGACTCTAGTACTAATTTTCTTAGCTCTTCATGTATTAAATTTTTGCCTTTAGAATTTAGATGCCCCTGTTCTTCCCATATTTTCTGAATGTACGGGCAATCCCAAATGTGTACCAGGAGTCGATATAGGTTGTTCCTTTATCTTTTTCTAGTAAATCTAGTCCTCTCTTCAAGGCACAGATTTCACAGCACTGGGCACACCAATTTGAGGGTATCTTTCCTTTTTCCTCAACTTGCATGTTCTGCCCATCTATGCTTGCATACCCTGAGACCTGTTTACTGGCTACCATTTGTGAAGATCCATCTGTAAATAAAATTCTCCCATGTGGGAGGGGCTTATCTTCTAAATCTTCTCTCACTTTAGTCTGCATTTCAATAATTTCTAAACAATCATGTTCCAGGTCTTTTAATGACTCTCCCATGAGGAGCAGGGCTGCATTTAAACATTTTGAAGTGACTTATTCGACGCCCTTGGTACTTATTATGATGACTTCATACTTTAGTATTTGGGTGTCAGTTATCCCCTGAGGGG